TATATATTATGAGTGTACCGTGCGTTTCGTGAACTAAGTCCATGTAATAGATCACTTTATGTTAAAATTAAATTAAAATTATAACTAATTTATACTAGATAGATGTATTAGACACTAGCAGAAAGGGAGTGACGAAATATTTATTAAGTATTTATATTTAATAGCAGCTATTGATACTAAAAAAAACCCATGTACAAAAATAAATCTTGTTTCTTCAAAGGGACAAAAGCCAGTAGAGCGAATTTTGACACACATGTAAGAGTGTTAATAAGGAAATTTATACGTGTATATTTTGTGTAAGCCCCCTCCTCATGTGCCATTTTTCTAATGCAAGATAATAAAGCGTGCCAAAAACGTGCTTCTTAATTAGTTTCCTCGTGTTCTTCGCTAGCTGATCCTCATAAAAAAAATGTATAGATTTTGTATTGAGATAAAACGCTAGTAAAGCTCTTTAAAGGAATATACAGATTGTAGCTAGTCTGAATATACGGGGAAAAATTGTCTATGTCAATCGAGTGGTATTATGTGAATGGTAATATTATGTGCAGCACAAATTGTCTGTGTTGTGTAACTCCTTTATACAAATACATTTGGGCGCATATAGATAAATCGTGCACTAATAAAGCAGGGTTTGTAACCAATAAACGCTGTACTAAGTCATAAAAGCTATAATAAGTCATAAAAAAAAGTGAAAGCGTCAGTGTTTGAACCTACATTCGGCTTTTCTTGTCTCCGCAAAAAAAAAAGAAGCGAGAATGACTTCTCAATATCGACTATTTAATAAATAGAAGTTAGATAAAGGCAAGAGAAGTGGTAGGTTTGAGAATTTAATTGCGAAACTAATAAATTCATATTATTTATCTAATTATGAGACCACACGAGGAATGTGCCACTTGTTGCCTAACGCTTCACTAGGCAAGATTTTCGTTTCCGTTCTTTGCTGGAAGTGCTTAGAATGCATTTACGGAGACACAAATATGCCCTAAACGATAGCTGACTCACCTTTGACGAGCTGGCAAAATCATCACAAGGGCAACCCCTGTAAATTTCACATGTGCAGTAGCGGCACTAAACGGATGATTCCTATGACCTGTACGTTTCTAACCCCGGTCTCTGAAGGTCACGCGACAAAAACGTGGATGTTAAGTAAAAAACTACAGCAAGAGGCATGCGAAAGCAAGAGCATCTGACATCGTCTGTTTTATAATGACGTGTAGCATCTTATAAACGCGTCAAGTACATCCTCTCGTGTGTCTAGGGTTTTATTATTACGGTGCGCTTGGAAAGCCGCTGAATGAGGGCCTAACTGATTTCTTGTAATTTTTTTTTGTCTCGAAAATACATATTCAAATAGCAACATATATTACGAAACTGAAAGAACGCAAAGTTACCCATATAATTTTTTTTGTTTTCGTATACCCATAATGTTAGTCAATTTTCCAGACATAAAACCTCACTAAAGGCAATTGTTGGAAAGCTTAGATTCGGATCTGAAATTTTCCCAAACAAAAAAAAAACAACAAACTACAAAACAAGCAAGTGATTAGCTGCTCAATCATATTTAGATAATTCAGGTCTGTCTTTGCATTCTTATAGACTCAGATAGAATAAGCGGTTTGGTCGTTAAAGTTTGCCATTAGGATTTAAGTACACTATCATAATTCACGTAAAGCATCTCCATATAAACAACAACAGAAATACCGGTGTCATTCCACTGCTTCTCAAGAATCTCCCCTACCACGATATGCTGACAACGATCTAAGCGTGTGCGTTAGTCACACGAATTGAATAGGCTGCGGCCTGAATAAAGAAATGCACAACGAAAGAGAGAGCTAGCCTGTGTTAGGCCTCTCCAGAAGGTTGAGGATTGTAAAGGATTTCACGTCTCGTGCGTAGAATTTCACCCTTCTCCCTTCCGCCGCTCACTCTGACTCTGCTCCCCTATGCCTGGCGGTGATGGCTTTGTTGCTACCACTACGAGAAAAGGAGGTAAGGATAGGAGGAGCATACTTCGTAGTGGGATTGCGCACAACAATGGGTCTGACTTGTTGATGAGGGAGAATGGTAAGAGGCAATCCTATAGCACCTGACCCAGTAGATTCCCGATCTGGGGATGAGCAACTTTTCGTAAGGGTACCGCTGCAGGAATAGAAGGACTAGGGAGGTCGAAAGGAGGGGTTAAACAGCCGGGAGAACAGTCTAGGGTACCCCTGTGCTGTAGGAAGTCAGTTCAGAGAGCGTCAGAGGAACCCGATTCGGCTTTACAGGGGTAGCCTGAATAAACGATAAGGTACTGCAATGAACGCACGCTTAGGCAGATATACGTTCTTCCTGCATATGCTGAAACCAACGAGGTGTCAGCGCCAGACATTCGTGGTCATGCAAAAAGAAAATGCTAAGGTTTATAATATACATATAGGAGTACGTATAGGATGTAAGCGTGAAGCTTGCGCCCGAATAATACGTGCACTGAAATGTTCCATTGATGCGCAGGATGCGTAGATTATTGTATTTGACCACTACAAGCTCCTTTCATAAATGTTTACTCAGAGCTAAAACTGTAAACAGTAAGCGTGACGAAATTAGGTTTGGTTATATAAAAATTATATAAATACGCTTAATGGATTGGTTTGATGCATTAGCAGGATCAGAACCAGTATCAGTGCAAGATGCATCACTGACTGTATATGTACGCCGAATACTCTTAAAAGCTCTGCAAAGTAAAGGCATTGAACGGTATTTTGGTGATGCACGAATACAATATTTATCCAGCTTCCGTTAAGCAGTTCCTGTTTAATTGAATCTGTCTACTGAGCAATACTGTTAGCAAAAGTGCTTGAGCGAATAGAGACCCTGTAGGAAATGCAGCTAGATTTATTCACGTAAGGGGCTGCGTGAAGTCCACAGCGCAGGGAACCCAAATATGATATTAACGCGAATGAAAAATTCTCGCCAGAAATATTAACTGAACCGAGGTGCCTGAAACCAACTTTCCGCTTTCATACGGATGATCTATGCCCCTATTGCAATGGAAGCTGCGATAAAAAGGACAGACAGGTATCTATGTTGTCACCGAAGTGTCGCTAATGGGTCCTTAATGGCACTGTTAATCATCGCAGGCGTTCGTTTTACACTCGTCGAAATATGATGCCGTTACATACCACCCAACTAAATACATTTAATAATACGCAAATCATAATGGGGTGAAGTGTACATTTGCACTTAAAAAGTCTATATACTCGGCCAGTTAGCCCCACAGCCATCAACTATAGACGGTCGTAGGGCTCACACTGGTTGCAGGTTCGAGTGAAGGGCATAATCGTCTACATTCGTCAACTTTTCTATTACTCGAATTATTCATAGGGAAAAAATCAAAATGCTTAAGCTTCTTTTTCAGTTTCGTAGGTAAACGCTGCCACTGTAATACTGCAAAAGCTTGCTGACATTGTAGTCGTAAACACCTGAGTCAACTGTACTTCACAATATTTGTAATATTACATATACATCTAAACGAAAATTCGTCGTTCACGCAATACGTAAACGTTTAGCGTATTCTATACGTATGACGATGTCTAAATAAAGTTTAGCATATCATAATAATAGCTGATCCCTTGAGCAATGCTTGAGCAAAACCTGGAACTTTCAGACATCGACGCATTGAGGAAAGCTAAATACGCTAGAATCACTTCCTCTCATGTTAATCTGATCATAGACTTATGATACCCGATAGGGACAGGGAACTTTTTAGCGCGCTTTTCCTGTAAGATATAAAACGGGGCAACAAATCTTCATTTTGCGTTGATCACACACGGATGACGCATAGAATTCGTGTGTTTAGCACAGTATGCGTAATATATTTGCCCACCAACCGACAATAGCGACTCGTGATGGTTCAGTTTTGAGTCCAAACATAGACCTAGTTCTTTTCATGTTGGAGGCGGCCAGCCGCCTGACGTAATGCCCAACGGCAGAAGCACTATATGTAAAGCACAAACCACATCTTTGATGATGCATGGTACTTAGTGTTAGATAGCTCTGTTTTCTGATCTTTGCGAGCTGAATCTGCTAGGGAAAAAACCGGTTGCTATTAGTTCCGTTGTACATTTACTATCATTAGCTATGATAATGTTAGTTGTCGCTAGAAAATAATGTAATGTACCTGATTTATGAACATCAATAATAATCTTATTTAGTGCGGTCCGGGTATTACTGGGTATACCGATGCCTGGCGATGTTGGCATCCACCTTCGTCAGCCTTCGTAATAGGTTACGAATCTGAGCCCGCTGTGATATGTAAAGTCATTTCCAAACCGTCCCAGCTATACTAGCAGCCAAATTCGATGAATCAATGAATAGAAAAAAACGGCGCATAGAATCCGTTTCGGATGCAGAGCTCTTGACGATGTCCGCCATAGGGTTAAAGGGCTTTGAAGTGGCCGTAAAAGAAGAATGCAGCGGAGGAGTTCTCGTTTAAACGACATCATCATTCGACTTAACGCAGAAACAGATGTTCCTGGCTACCTAATCAATGGAGCCCTGTTTAAAACCGGAAGAAGAACACTGCCGTTTTGTTCCCTTGTTTAGTTTGAGGGAGGTCAGGCTGAAGCCGCGATCATGTGTTGTGACTCTGGGAAGATGTGTGAGCGTGAAGGCATCTGAAAAACTGTGCAAGAGCTACTAGAGTGCTCTCATGTCGGCTCCGGCATATATTCACAAGTCAGAAAGAGGGCGACTCGTAACGAAGATTGCCAAGTTTTAAAGCCTAAGGGGGAAGAACGCGCATATGCCGACGTCCGCCCCCTTTTTATTTGGAAATCTACGATTGGAAAAGCGATCGGTTGCAGAAGAGGCCAAGGTGCGTACGCGTGATCATCAACAAGCGTAGTCTTAGCAGTCGAGGACAAAAGTTAAGTCTGGTCTGAGTAAGCAGCACAGGTCTTTCAGCTTTGCAGGCATGGCGCGGGAATGGCGGGGGCAATGACATCGTCTGGTTACAGCTTGGGCGACTCGGTTATCGCAGCATGTCTACTGAATCGGCTCTTCTCAACAAAAGCTAGTCGACGGGACGGGCAATTGTAAGCGATACCTTAGGACAAGTGTGTGGGTAGCATGGCCGAGTGTAACGGGACGGACTAAAAGTACGTTGAGTAGCAGGTATTTTCGTCGATTTCGTTGCATCGAAACGAGGTGTCGCCGAACTCAATTACCGTTGTGCCGGCATTAGTAAGCCGTCACCACAATAGCCATCTTCACTTTGGCTTTGGCAGATCTCTTTGGTTATTCGTGTGGTTATGCCAAAGCGATTAACAAAGATAAAAACATGCATTTCACCTTAAGTTACCAATCAGCAAATACTCAGTAAGATTAGTGGATTCACAGAATTTTATTTGGATTTAGTTTCAATCTAACTTAGGAAGAAGTTATCAAGACGTGCATATGATGTATTTTTATAGGGATTATGTAACCTTCACAATAACATTTGCAAAACTATTATGCGTTTCGTTAGAGAGCCGTGCGATGTTTCTGTTGACGTCTGTAGTGGCTCCCGTTTCTACCATAAGAATAGAGATTAGTTCGTTATGACATACAAAATTAGGTATTGTAGGCCGTATTGTAAATGCATCCGATTGGCGCACGCACAAACTCCCTTCATTTCATCAACTGAAAAAAGCACTTACTAGTAGAGACTCGGAAGCACAGCTTACTACCTCGACAGATCTTATCGTCCATTCCGTACCGTAACTAGCTTATTGCCACGTGAGTCTGTGTTTTAGATTTGTTTTACGACGTGTACGGATGACTTTAATCAGTGCCATTACGAAATTCTCGATATCGAGGTGTATAAATGTATGTGAGATATTAAAGAGTAGTTATATGTACCTAGCGCGAGTTGTGTATAATAATAATAATAATTATTATTATTGTTTCGTTTGGAAACGTTTTCTTTTCTTCTCAACTGAGTATGTCCATTAAGCTTACCTGACGCCAGGAACTTCACATGAAGGTAAGTGAAATGTCCGCGTCCAGTTGCGATGCTTATCTCGCGCACGTAGTTGTCAGTCTTGGTTATATATACCAGAGTATGCCAGTATGGTCGTAGAGTTTCGGTACGTAAGAACGTTAAGCGGACCTTGCACTTTGCTTCAAGAGGAAACAGGAGAATCTAACGGGCTGGAGAGTTGGGGACTGGAAGCCATATGTATGCGGTCGGGTAGTCATTTCCGCTGAGATTTCCGGTCACACACATATTTACGATGGCACGGCAGCTCGTCGCAGGCCAACGTTCGCCGCCTTTCCTTAAGTCACACCTCTGTTCTTGAATCCGGAGCGATACCGAATACAGGTCTTGACATCCTAGTAACGTGCTTATCATGATCGCTACTTGCCCTTCGTATTCTAATGATCTGGACCTTAACTGAATTGTCGTACAATACGCAGTTGGCTGCATCAGTTGGGTTGAGGGCAAGACACATTGTTACTCTTAATGCTTGATATTTTTTTGTTGCACGCATGCTAAGAGAGACATATGGAACGCTTAATGAAATTTGAAGGAAATTAATAATAGTAAGAGATTCAAAACCATTTACTACGGTTGCTTGAAAAAACGTGCTTTTGTCCACAAAGAATATACGGCTTCTCAAGATAGATTTGGCAGTGTCTTCTAGTTATCGAGTAAGCCATACATTGAACTTGACTGATAAGGAAGTTTAATCTGCTCGTAACGCGGGACAGAAAATTTAACCATCGAGTATACGATGTATTTTTCTTTCAACAAGCGAAAAATGTATCGGAAACATTTCGTAGATTTTGATAGGTTTTTGTTTGGAGCGAAATCTTATGAAAACCAACCCGTTATGTAGTACAATGGCTTGTTTACCTGGGGTGGGACCCTGCGTACGTATACTAGAATTTCACTTTTTATATATAGAATGGTTCGCTCTCTCTTGCAGTGCCATCAGAATTGTGGGGTTAAATTAAAATACAAGAAATCTTGGCTTCGTGCAATGGCCTGCATAATCTTCTATATAGCCTTATCACCCTTTTGTAAATTCCGTTCATAATAGAAGCTGCTCTTTTTAGTGAGGTGCAGTCATTAAGCAGCAGCGGTAGCAAGCGATCTATGATAATCTACTTTATTTCTTACTGAACAACCAAAGTAGAGGCGCACTATCATTACTATTGCCGTTACTGCCTCCTCTCCCATGCCCCTCCTCTCCCATGCCGGAGCAGAGGTGCGCCATACTTCGGTGACCCTTTTTACGTGCGGCTTTCGTTTAGTCTCGAGGGGTACCGTTGGCGATGTGGGATCTGTCGTTTGCTGCAACGGCTTCTCATAAGGCTGCGTGACAAATTGAAACTTCTTCTCTTGCTGGAACCGCCATCGCGGCTGCTGCCGCTCGTGTCTTGCCAAGTCCCTCTCCTTGACAACAAAAGGAGCAATGCCATGCAAAAAACAGTAGAAGGAAAAGAAAAGTAGAGAGAGAAACAGCAAGCGAGAGCTGATCCAACTTTCAACTCATAGCCCAGTACAGCGTAGCTTAAGCGCTCCATACCATCCATGCGCTCTTCGTCATTTTCGTCCTTTAGTGCTGAAAGGAGCCCTTCTTTCTGATTCTGCTCCCTTAATGAAACCATGCCGAAGGGGAGGTCGTAGTCGGAGACCTTAGGAAAAAGCAGTCTGCCTTTATCTCCATAGCTAACCTTTAGTACCCAATAGGCGGTTGGGGCGTTGAGAACTGCGATAAGAGCCTAGTCTCTCGCCTCTATGCAAGAGCCCCTCGCGTGACAAGCCTACCGAAGGAGCTTTCAAGGGCTATATACGAAAACTGCTCTTTACTTAGTGGATTCTCGACTACTATTGCTACTGGTCTTTCTGCGATGCGCGCTCCAAATCGCTTCGGTGGCCACGGCCACCCACGTCCTTCGCTTCGTTCTCCTTCGCATAAATTTCGACTATGAGTAGTATTTCCTACTCCCATTTTATTTCCACTACTTCTATTTAGAATGCCCTATTTTCCCTGACTTACCACGACTCGCCTGTGGTTCGTTGGGGATGGGGGTAAAAAAGCTACCCTTCGGAACCTAGCTCAGCAATAGCACCAACCGACAGCGCTCACATTCAAAATGAGCCAACAAAAACGCCAGAGCGAGACTAGGGATCCGACTCCTCGATCTCCGTTGCATTGGAAGAGGAAACTGAGCAAGACGAATTGCTTTTGCCCAATGACAGGCTGCTTCGGGGGATGCCGACGACCACGACGAAGATGGTGCTAGCGGAACTGGCAGTTGCCTTTTTCTTTAGAAAGCTCGCCCGTCTTGTTGCCCTATGCTTGCCAACGCTCGACACCGTGTATGAGCGTTTACATGTATATATTTGTACACATATATATATATATATATATATATATATATATATATAATTTCTTTCGCCGACCTTACGTATTACTCGTGTCATATATAGTTGGGCAACGAGCCGTAAAAGCCTCGCTTTCAATAAGGGAAGTCTGAAATAAACATGGGGTATTCTAGAAATAGGACTACTATCGTCACAACTCTACCCTACTACTGGCCAATTCGCCCACTAAGGGACATATTAGAGAAAAGGTTTAAATAGCATTTGTTTGTTATGCAAAATTGGTTTCGTTATTTATGGTATAATAGGTGCCTATTCGAATATGCCTTATATATTTACAGAAACTTAGTGAAATTATTGCTATGTTAAATATGCTGGTAAATTTAACTTAATAAGTTCTCATACCGGGCCTCAACTATTGTTGGATACAAATACAAAGAAGTACAAAATATCAGCTGAGTCTCCACCGTTGGTCAGACGACCATAGAGATGGCTGCATCATGCATAAATGCACACTTTTACAAAATGTATGGTACTGAACGCTCGGAAGACGGCAAAGCTTCGGCTGTCAACTGTCAAGCTGGATGAGAAGTTTCACCTAGTTCAGCCGCGGCAAGGTTCTCCTAGAGAAACATCTCCTCTGAGGAAACGAAAGTCTTCGTATTCGAGTTGGGATAATGCTGTTCGGTGGACGCAGGCAAACTACTGGGCAGCCTGTCAAACAAGCATTGCTCGACCTATCGCGTCACGAACTCATGGGCTGTAGCAGGTAAATGATCAAATGAAAGCAAGAGCGTAATATGGAGGCAAGGTCCTCTGCTGCGCGAATCTTCCCGGCCCTTTCGTTATTTCTTTTAGGCACTTTTTCTTCGCCATTGAGA